ACAAAGAGGGATGTGGGGACAAGACCCTGATCATCCTAACAACTGAAATACTAGAAAGCAATGTAAAAAGGAGCCCTCTGGAAAGCAATGAGCCTCATCAATAGACTCTGAGTGCTCAACTAGATCAACGAGGTGTTGGATGATGATCCTGGTTACTTGTATCTGCATCATAAAATGATGCAGGTCAAATGACATCAGTACATTGAATGCACGAGTATGCGAGGGGAATACTAAACATAACATAAGCTTGAAAGGAATATGAAAGAAACACTTACCTTGGCTTTACTCAACTCATGAATAACTTAACTCAAATTCAAAGTAAACAACAATAATGGTGCAGTTATACAAAACATTTAAAACAATAGTAGCAACTCAATTTGTTAAAGAAATGCAATAACAACTCAGTTTACTTGTAAAGTAGTATAATACTGTGGGAGTTTCTCTAACCGACAACCACCAGCTTAAGTGGTGATATAACGTCTTGCCCACGCTGTCAGAACTCTCCAATACTTTGTCGTCATATAGAACGCCTTAACTAAGTGGATACACTAGTCTATGCTAAAAAAGCACTTAAGGAATCATCTAAAAAGTATGATCCTTTACTACCATGATGGCTACATTGGTTTATGGAGACTTGAGTTATTATGAACTCGCATCCCCATATCGGTGTTCAATACTACTCCCAAAAATATACTTAGCTCATATGTTTTTAAAATAAAACTTCTTTCTTTGGTTTGAGATAATTACTCACAACTTAGCTTAAAATCTCTCTTGGAATCGATGTTCCCTTTCTTGCTCGAATGTGAAAACATTTTTAACTCTTGGGAATACTTAGTTCCCGTATAATCTTTGAAGAAATGAACATTTATTCTTACTCTTTACTCAACTCAGAGCTTAAGTCTTAAAGCAAAGTTAAAACGTTTGTAAAAGACTTTTGGAAAACTTTATGAATTTCTCTTAACTTGACTCTTAACTTTCCTTGACTTAATTCTTAACTTTCCTTGAATTGAATTATAGATTCAAGGATTGTGATTTGTGATAGGAACGATCTCATGATGTTTAGGAGTGTTTTTAGATAGTTAAACACGAGAAACGATCAAGAAATCACTGTCTGAAAACTAGTTCGCGACTCAGAGATGTATTTAAATATTTGGTCGCGAAAATAGAATTTGAGGCAGAACGGTATGTGACCATTCCGCGACGCGTGGAGAATTTTCCCATCCTGAGGAACGGTCCGCGTCGCGGACCTGGTACCCAGATTCGCTCGACTTTTTCCTTCTTCGTTTTCCAGTCCCAATTCGCCTAAACTCGATTCTTTTTCCCAAATTTTCTTTAGATTCAGATACCTAATAGATGTACCTAAGAACCTAACTCAAAACAACTCTATAACTCGATGCAATAATCTCAAAATTCATCAATCTCAGCCCAAATTCAAGAACGAAGGTAAATTCAAGAACACATATCAAGAACAACAAACTTTCAACCTCTTTAGGATGAATTCACGCTGAAATAATCATGTTTGGCACGTGGGTGAACGAACCCAACGTTATGAAAGTCTCACATACCTTGTAGAATCAAATCCTTGAAGAAATCCGCAATCAATTCCTTACGAAGACGACGAATCTTGACTTTCCTGTTCTCTTCTCTCTTGAGTTCTTCTCTCTAAAGCCCTAACGTGAATTTTCAATTGTGCAAACTGAACCAATTCAGTTTTGACCCTAATTAATTCACTAAAAACGAATTAAATTACTTGAAAAGACCAAAATATCCTTCCAAAATCCGGATTACACTTCCTTATTTGAACAACCCAACTTTCAATGGGCATATCTCACTCATACGAACTCGGAATCGCGCAAACTCGGCGGCGTTGGAAAGATAATTCCAAGATATTTCCTAGGGTATGTGGAAGCACACCTAACTCATCTTGAGCTAGGAGTTATGGTTGTTTGAAGTTGACAAAAAAAAAACCCAAACTTAACACTTAACAAATTTCCAATTCTAACTCTTTCTAGTTCTTTCAATTAGCGAGATGTTCCATATTATCCCTATTCATGTAGTATTATTGTCTATCATAGCTATTGCCTTTTGATATCTGTTATCCTCTGTTGTTTAATTTATTTTGATTATCGAACTATTTTGTTATTGTTATTGTTCTTTTTTCTGAATGCTCTGTAATGCTTCCCTTAAATTATTAACTATCACGTTTCTTCACTTTTGTATTTTCTCTTTCATGACTATTTTGGTTTATTGCAGATCGAGAGTTCTCGAAAATACCTTTCTCTGCCTCCATGAGATAGGGACATGGGCGGCTCAAGAAAGTTCATGGTCTAAAGCCAAAAATTAATTTGATGCCTTAAAATAAAATTCAATATAATTTATTTTGATTTTTTTAAAGCTTTTTGTGTGACTATTCATTTTTCACGATTTAAAGAAGTTGAAAATCTAATATCAAAATATAATATGTCGCTGCTTTAATATAATTGTTGTAATACTTAAAAAGTGAGAAAAAATTGATAAAATAGCCGTATCTTAATCATTCACATTCTTCAACTCTTCTATCTTATATTTTTATATCTTAATTTAATCACATTCTTCAGCTCTTATATTTTACTGAATATTTACATTCAGTTTTTTCAATTTGTAGATCAAACTGGCACATCAATCAATATCAAGAAAATAATCTTTACTCTTTTTAATGAGAAAAACTAGTACTCTATTTTTTTTATATTTTAAAATAAAAAATAATCTACTACACTATTAGGGTCGTTTGGTAGGAGGTATTAAGAGAAATAATCCATGTATTATGTATAATATTATTTAGTACTATGTTTGGCAAAATTTTTGGGCCTAAGTATAACTAATCCATGCATGAATTAGTTATACACCCTACATGGCATTATAGGATGTATTACTAATACCTTCCATTTGGTGGTATTAGTAATACATTGAATTTAATATCATGAGTAAATATGGATTTGGTCAAATATGGTTTGGATAGAATGGTTCTAACCCATTTAAAAAAATCTGTTTTTCCAAAAAAAAAAAAAACTACCC